CACGGTGACGAGGTCGCCAAGGCCAAGTTCTTGATCGGCGACCCGTCGTATTTCCCCAAGGACAAGATCAAAGCGACGGGACGGTGCGAGGAGGGGGGATTGAAGTGGGGGGGGCGGAAGTGATGGCAGGAAGGGAGAAGGGAGCAGGAGGCAAGAGAACTGAGGAAAAGAAGGGCGAAGAGGGAATAAGGGACGTTGGTTTTGAACGATGAATGCTGGGCTCATGCGTCTCACCTACATGCCCACAGCGTGGTCCGCTCCATTGTTCTTATGGATCATCCTGTTGCGAGTACCAGGTGCGGATGGGGGCGTCAAGAAGGGAGAGAGGGAGGGAGGGAGGGAGGGAGGGAGGGAGGAGGAAGCGGGAAGGAAGAGAAAGCAGCCGAAAAACCTGACTTGCTTTTGGCAACCTTTCCTCCCTCTGGTCTTCTTTACCCAATTTTTGTCGTCTTCAGTAACTCCGAATCGGCCCAAATCATTATTCCTGCGTCCGAGCTGAAGCGCCACCACGATGTTTACATCGCCGTCATCTCCTATGCTCACATGGTGGCCGCCCAAGGTAGGCCCAGAGGGGAGTCCGAGTGAATGAAGGGAATGAGCAAGGGGTATCATATTTCATTGTATTTGCTATTTACAGGGAGGTTTATTGCGATCGCATCCACAACGGTGGAAACGGGGAATCCGTTGCAAGAGTTGGAACCGGCAATCAAGCTTTTGGGTAATTACATTGAACGCTTCGACTCGGTAAGGCGGGCGGGGAAGTCAGAAAAATGGTGGCGGAGGAATAAAGGACATGGAGATGGGGGAGTGGGAGGGAATAGATATGGCAGCAGATGGAATAGAGTCTCGTCGGAGCCCCTGCACACGTATGTCATGGTCACTTTTTAAGATCTCTCTGGTCCCTGTCAGGTTGAAGACACGTATTCCCCCCTTGAGGATGGTTCCAAGGACCGCTGTTTCATCTCCTCTTCATACGATGCCACGTCGCATTTCGAGACGACGGCCGAGGATGTGCTGTCGCTCTACCGACGAATTACGGGGAAGGAGCTTGATTTGACGATTTCTGCCGACTCCACGGACGCAGACTACTGAAGGAAGCGACTAAAAAGGGGTAGATGAAAGGAAAGGCGAAGATTCCCACGTTTGTTTGAAACGAAAAATATTGCAATCTTTGGTAAAAGGAACGGGGTGAGGAGAGCGGGGCAAGACGGATGGTGGTGGTATACAAACAAAATGGCTTTGAAAGAAATGGCCAGCAAGCGCTCTTTTTGGGAATTTCGGGAGTTCTTTGGAAATTTAAAATAAAGAACAAGAATCTCAAAGAAAGAGCGAGAAATAAATTTGCGCCTGAATCCGAGTGGGGCAGCCAGTATGATTTTTTTCCCCACTGTTTTGGGAGAGGAGGTAGGTCTAACTGGCTCCTCACTTGCGAGAAGACATCGTACGCAAATCAATGCTTAGAAATGATAAGACATTCAATTATAAGTGATCAGACTTTTTATAATTTCTGTGCAAGACATAAACAACATAATTGACCGGACTTCGCACAATTCAGGGACAGGAACTAGCATCGGCCTAGATGTCGGGAAAAGCCTTTTAAAAATTCAAATCCGTTCGATTAAACGGTCGGCGTCTGCACTGGTCATTGAGGCCGTCATTACGACCTTACAAAATCTTTCATTTATTAGACAAAGGTTATTGATATTTACCTCCATTACCAAATCAATCTTGTCCTTTTCACCCATTGTCACGCTTTGCTTCTTATGATACGGTGGCATCAAGCCTTAACGGTTCCGTAGGTCCTACATCCTCATCTTATTCCAAGCTTTCTTGTGCATGCTCACTTGCATACCCATACACTCAAAAGGCCGTAATGTATACCATTGTTCAAAATTTTAGTAATCTATACATAATTTTTTGCAGGTATTCCGCCCCTGGGGCCGTACCATTGCGTCGCCAATTTGGCTGGCGTCTTACCGCAATGGGCGGCCGGAAGCCTACTCGAGAGGATAGCACGTTTCAGAGCGGCATTGCGTCCGACTCGCCTCCATCCCACTACGACGTCCCTCCTTCGGCTTCGGCGATGCAACCCTTATCCATTCAGAGCCCGGGGGGTACTTCCAGCACTTTTGAAGTTCACGTGACTTCAGGACCTTTTACGACGCGGGCAGGGGAGGATGAAAGCGGCTTGTTCGCCTTTCACGATTATACATCAGGGGTCAAGGGGGGTAAAAGTAATGATAACTCTGCCAAGAGTCATACGGACGGGAAGCCGTCGAAGAGTCATGGAAATCAGAATCATGGTGTGAACCGAACAGTCGCCGTCGCGGCCACACAGGGCAGGGAAACATCACCCTTTTCACACAGAGGTGGAAGCGACAGCGCTCGCACGACTCACACTCCAGAAAACAACTCTGATGACGAGAGCCTCACATCCAGTGGCCAACGCCGGCAAGAGCAACTGGGTTTGCTTGGGAAGAGCTCCCGGGCTGTCACTCGCTTGTGGAGGCCCTTTGGGCGTGTCCACCACATTGTGGGAGACGAGGAGGAAATGAGCCGACACCCGTCCCTCATGCACCGAGCACCGACGGCTCGTGTGACCCGCTTCTTCCTCTGGCGGAAATGGACGATCATCGTGATTATTTTGCAGATGTACGTCCAAGTAGGTGTCGACATTCGAAATTTCAGCATCTTCATGCAAGACCCTTATGAGTCTCTTTGCCCCTGCCGGGACGCTGTCAAGGCACGAGAAGCCGCAGAAGCTGAAGCCACACGGGCAAGCAGAGCAAACCTTGCCACTCGTTCTGCGCTGGGGGTGGCCACTCTAATGGCTGCCGTCCGAGGCTCTCCCTTGTCCGCGGCGCGCTATGCGGCCCAGGCGCAGCAATACCATACGGACGCAGACAGGAGGGTGGAGGTTCCATCCTGGGATGATATGCAGTCTACTCTGCAGCAACAAGGTGTAGGGGTAAATGAGAACGTAGGGCCTTCCCTGGAGGTGTGGCGGGACGTGTTGCTCCAGCCTGACGGCAGCCTCCTGTCTCCAGAGGAGGCCTACAACCAGGCTATCGCCCATGGCATGTTGCCGTCTGAAGACACCGCCCAGCGGCTCCAGAAACTGTATGTTTCCCTCCAAAAAAGCGAGAAAGAGGAAGAAAAGCAAGGAGGTCGGCGCTTGCAGGCACAAGCGCCACGGCCTGGGACCCCACCGGGGCGAGAAGACGCATCCCACCAGGTCCAGGAGACTCCCTCCCTACCTTCTTCAAATGACTCAGGAGACACAACGGCCGGGACCGATGAATTTGGGCCCATTGGCTCTGACCAAGACCTGAACCCCAATTGCGATATTTGCGACAGCGTGGCCACCGTGGCGCGGACGGGTATGCTCCCCGCTTGCTACAAATACCACGCTTCGCCCGGTTTCAACCAGGTCGTGGACGCCGGTGAGAACGACGCGAAAATCGGGCTGTTAGCTTTCCGAACAGTCAACTCCACGAGGCCAATTTCCCTCATTTACCAATGCAACGGGACCGACGTGGGGAAAAAAAGCACCACCTGCTTTCAAGACTCAAAGTTGTTGCTCAAACGCGACTGCACGATAGGGTTCGACGCTTCCGAGTACGTCACGGTCGAGATGAGTGCCGTCCTGGCGCGGCTCACCTATGCCCCCAGCCTGACCATGCGGTGGGCCGACTGTGATCCGGACACCCACGTCCAGACCCGGGAGAAAGTCTGCCTGTCCAATGGAAAGATGGTGGCGCTCGGCTACTGCGAAGCTGCCGGCTTGGAACCTCCAGTGATCGAGCGTGAATGCTGCTTGGGGTCGGAGGACATTTTTGACACGGTGTACAACCAAGATTACAACAATTTACTCATTTTTTTCGACGTGGTGGCCCTGGTCGTCTCCTTTTCCCGCCTGATCGCCACGCACCTCGCCCTGTATTTCATCGACTCCCACAAAATGTCCGCAATCTTCGTCGTGTGGGCGTGGGCTGTGCCTTTTCTGGGCGCATTCATCAAGTACTCTTACCCTTTAAATGGCTTCGTCTCCGAGTCGGGCCGGGACGGGGCGATAGAATTCATGGCCTCCCTGACGGGCTCCGAGTACGTGAACAACAAAGGCTTGACGCAGGCGATGGCCGAGGCCATGTCCCGGTCTGGAGGGTACGACCCCATCTTGCTCTACCTCATGAACCTGGTCGACGCGCTCCGGAGCTACGCTGTGTATGGACAGGCATTTGTGGTGGTAACCATTGAGTTTTATTACCGCTTCTTGTACGCCTTGATGGTGCTGGGAGAATTGGGTCCTCTGGCCATCAGTGTCCTGCCTGGCTTCCGCTCTGCGGCAGTTGTGCTCAAGACACTGCTGCCGGAATCTGCCACGTTGGGGTGGTTGGTAAGCGTCGGACCGATGGTTTATATGCCGTTCCTCGCCTGCGCGCTGATCATGTTCATCCAAGTCTTCTCGGACTACTGGTTCACGCTCTCCTCCCTCTCCTATTCCCTGAGCAATCTGGTCATGATCGTCTTTTTTTGGCGAAACTCTGGAATTTACATCGATCCGGTCTCCTTCCGGAAGCAATTGATCCGACAAGATATGATCCGAAACGTGCTACTCGCGGCTTCATTCGCCTTCGCCATGGTATTCATGGTGGAAAGTTCCCGGCGGGAAAGTCAGGGGGCCGGGAGCACAATGCGGACGATCGGTCCGGCTGGCTTTTTGAGCTTTGTCGTGCGCTGCGTCTTGAACTTTCAACTGGCGAGCGTCTTCAGTGCAGACGTGGTATTGTATCTGCTTCGCCGCCTCCAACGTCAGGCTCGGCAAGACCGCTCTAGCAACATGGAGTACGAACGTGCCTTGAAAGAATTTTGGGTCCTGGACGAGCTTAAAGATTTGGAGTTGGAAATGCGGGGCGACAGCATTGATATCAGCGCAAGCGCCAGTGCCGCCGTGGCCGAATTGGACCGAGAGGGAAAACAAGACAAGCCCGGACAGGAAAAAAAACGACGGCCAGGACGGGAGGGTGAGAAGGTATCGTCTGGAGGGGAGGAAGAAAGAGAGCCAACGACGCCTTTGAATGGGTGGGTGGCTGCTGTGGTGGAAATGGATGGAGGTGGAGGGAGAGGAGCCAAAGGAAGGGAGAAAGGGAAGGTGGAGAAGCGAAACGCAAGCACACGACCTTCCTCGGTCCACTTTTCGTCGTCCTCGCCGAACGGACTTGGGGCCTATAGCGACTGCAGCAGTCCTGAGAGCCCAGAAAAATTAGAGACAGGCACAACACCGCTGCGAGGAAAACGCGCGTAGTCAAGGGGGTCGAAAGCCATCCAAGGGTAGGGGTTAAAAAAAATATAGGTCTTTATGCTTTTCGAGTTACCCTGATTTCTTTGTTTTGTGTAGCGTTTTCTGGGCTTGGACAGCCATGCCAAACGCCTTTTTGAAATTTCACCGTCGCTTACAGATGATTGCGGCATTGTATTAAACACAGCTGCCGGATTTCGTAGCATGTCCGTGACCCAATTATGGACAAGGTCCACAGGTCGGTAGTCCCCGATCAGTCTTTTCCCTCCACAACCGCCCAGCGTCGTTTACAGTCCATCCCTTTCCCCCCTGGTTACCCTCGCAAAGTGCTCAGATCCACCAAGTGCCGCATCGTTGGACGGCCATGGGGACAGTTCCAGGGCTGCTCGATCTCCGCGAGGTTCGCCACTACTTTTTGCATCTGGTCAGGGAAAGGAAAGGAAGGACGTGGTGTCGTGGAGGAAACAACATGAGGCCATGCGTATTTTTCAGGCCCAAAAAGACGGCGGGCATGGTCCCTCATGGAGGAGGGAGAAAGAGAGATAACGCAACACAAAACATTGCGAACCAAGGGCCGAAGCTGGAATTATTCGCAGTAGTAGACAGGCAACGTCTCACCTCCCCTCTCCAAGAAGATACAGACCACGCTACCCCTT